AGGTCCAGGAGCACCCGTTGCCTGTGTTGATGTGGTGGTGGCTGCTTTTTATGATACTGTCAGCTTCTAAATAAGTTTGAAGGTCTCTGAAGTGAAATGTGTTGCAAAAGCATCATATATTTCTTTGTCACTTGGAGGTTAGGATAGCAAGATACATGCTTGAGATTTCCAGAAATCAATATAGGAAAGATGGACAAAATTAAGGAAGAGAAAATAGATTGCCCAAGACTGCACAGGAGGTCAGTGTAGGATATGATTCTGAAATGGCAGATACTGATTATGTTTAGTTATTATCCTGATGTAGTGAAATACTAGCTGCTTGATGACTGCCATTTTCTTATTTTCTCTTCTGAGAATAGTGACTGTATTGCATGTCCACTGCTCTTACAGTGTAATACTGTAACAAATTGGGTACCATGTGGCAGAAGAGATTATCCACTTGGACCAAGCTGTATGTTTCCCTTTTTCATTCTGAAAAACGTTTTAACAACATTCCTTAATCTTAAATGCATTTCTTAGGCTTTTGAGTAAGGTAGGTGTCTAAATGTTGAAGAACAACGAGATTACTTGCTTGTGAATGGACAGCTTTCCTCGGTAAGTTGAAGTGTATAAAGAGCGGCAATGTAAAATCTGTACGTGTGGTGAATTCCAGTTAGATGTATCGTTCTGCAGGATGCTGAAACTCATGATCTTTAACTTTCCCTGTATTGTTGTTCAACTGGTGACCAGGAGCAGGAGAGGCATAAGTGCGTTCCTCTGTTGATGGAAACGTAAAAGGAGGTGTCCTTCTCATTGCCTCTCTAGCAGTAGAAAGTTAAATGTTGGCAGCTCCTGTTCATCTGAGTATAAGGTTATAAGGGAATAGCATTCCTTGCAAGTACTTTGGAGAAAACCATTTTCCATTTACTTTTGTGTCTGCAAGTGATGGCTATTTAAATAGTGACTAATATTAATATGCACTATTCCAGTAAATGTAAAGAGCAAATAGATTAGCTGTAAAATAATTTGCAGGTGTTTGCAAGCATTTGTTTTCTAGACAGTTTGCTAGAGAAAGGAAGAATAAAAAAGACAAGTTGGGCTGGAAACCTCCCTGCCTTTGCTGGATTTTAACATCTTAATTTAACCTGTGATTCCATTTCCTTTTCCTTGGTGTCAGTGCTGACACAAACCAGTCCCAGCCTTAGCTACTTTTTCCGTCCCAAACATTGTCCTCTTCGGTTGATTTGGCATTACTGGGGGGAGGGGGGAGCCTGCTATGAATTGGAAACTGGTTTGGCTGAACCTCCCCAACTCTCTTTCCTAGGTGAGCAGTTAGATTGGGAAAAGTGATCTAGTTCAGCGTAACTGGCTGCCCAGTATGGGGGCAGAATCAATGGAAGGTGTTGAAACAGGGCAAGAGTGTCTTACACCAGAGTTTCTTGTAAATGCTTTACCCTGAAGCTATTAGTTGTTGCAAGGGCAGGGCTTTTATTTATAAGTCGTAGCCGTTACAGTTGTAAAAATAACATTCGGTATTTGGAAGGCCACGGACTGTCTCCTGGGTTTTATTGGCAGCTTTTGTGCTTTTGCTGCTCTTTGTTGTTTTACTAAATGGCATCAGTACTAATTAAAAAAAAAAAAAGTTTGCTTATGTTATACAGCATATTTTAAATATTTGTGAAATAATGTGACTGTGCCAGTTTTACCCAGAGATCATTAAATTTGGAGAAACTGAAGAGCTGGATTTGTGGGCACTTGCACAGCTGACAGGAAGGAAGATTTGGGAGAGCAGTTGCCTCTTCTCTGTTTTGTTTGGAAGCTGCCATGAAGCTGGAAGAAAATTTAAACATCAGAATTCGAGAGGGCTCTCTGCTTTGGCTTTCTGATAGGAATTAGTCATAAATCTCATTTCTGTGGTCTTTTGAAGTCCGCCCCTGCCCCCCCCGCCCCCCCTTTGAAGGTTGAGTAAATTTGGCTAGACTCAGTAATGGAGCTTTGGACGACCTGACCTCCAAGACTGTGGTTTGACAGGGCCATATTTTGCTGGAATGCCATTTCAGCAGCCTGCATTGCTACTTCAGTTGTGCTGGCACAATTCTTTGAGGGACCAGTGCAGTGAAAGTGATTGAGAAAGTGATCCAGCTGGAAAATAGTCTGGGTTGGGGCGGGGGAAGATAGGTTTCATGCAGAGTGGTAGAGGCAGTGAATTAGGAGTAAGAGGACATTTGTAGATTGTTTATGCTGGCACTGACTGAAAGATGGACTCATTGCATTTTTTCTGTCAGCCTTTTGAAACATGAAGGAGCTATCCTCACATCTCAGACATCATTAGGACAGAGCTTTGGGTACGTTTCTTTCAACAGTTAGTTCAGTTGAGCTACTTAACATGATGAGAAGAGGAAAAAATAATCCTGTTCCAGGTTTCGACACAGGTGGGCAACATCTTCTGAAATGCTCCTCTCTGTCAATGTCAGAAAGACACCGTGATTCTGCTGAGTCAATTCAGCTGGTGTAACTCTTAAGGAAACAAAATTGCCCCTTTTTTCAAGGCAGTGCTGATGGTTGCAAAGTGCGGTGCTGTGAGAATTTTTTTCTTTTAATAACTGCTATTTAGAAACTGGCAGATAGCAATGCCTAATTTTGTCACGAATCGCTTCGTCTTGTGCTTCTTGGGTACAGTTGCTTGGATGGTCAGAAGCAGTACCAGAGGTATGAACTAAATTTATAGATGGGAAGAGAAGACCTTCAAAGTAAGAACTGTTTAAGGAGGAGAATAATGTGGCTCTGCAAAGCTGCTAGTTGCTGTAGGATAAAGTTGGTCTGAAAGCTAAAACTGCTTTTAGAAGTTTTCAGAGTGCACCTTAGTAGAAATTCTGTTGCTCAGCTAATGTTCAGGCTGGCTTGCTCCACAGTGCTGTGGTCCCTGTTGGAGGTTTGGGGAGCACGGCTGTACTTCTGGCTCAGTGACTTTCAGACTTTTTTGATCATTGGCCTGCTTTCCTGCTGTTAGCCTGCAGAATCTCTGCATGCTACCATGCATTGAAAGCCTTCTTGAGCAGTATCATCTGTTCTGTTGCTGGAGAATCAGGTCTAGTGTCTGTTACTTTTTATGTTCTTTCTCAGGATCCTGTGTCTTAAGTGTCATTGTACTGAACACTGGTACTATTTGTTACTGTGTGCGACGCCTTGTTTGTTGTCCTCCCTGTAAGCAGCTTCAGCACCCGTCCCTGTTGTTGCTTTCCAGAACTTCTGTAAATGACACAGATGTGGAGAATTGAGAAATGGTCATTTCATTCTACTGTTGCCAAAAAACCTTCTTCCCCCAAGCAGTGCTAGGTCTCGACTCTTGTCAGTACACTAAGACAGACAGCATTGTATCAGTCCACCTTTGAGATTTATGTTTTTATCTGCAGGTCTGAATTTTTTTTTTTTTTAAGGGTGGAATTGTAACTGATGTGTTGGTGGCAGCTGGCAGCAGGAAGAATGCCGCTTTCAAGCTCTGAAATTCTTTTGCACAGTGTCTTCTATCTATGTGATGTTGAGCTATACATTGCCCCCTCTCTGGGGGAGGACAGCTTTCCTTAAACTACATTTTTGCAGCATGTAGAACTGTGGATAACGGATTACTGATTTGAGTGCCATAGGCAGTTGTGAATCACAAAAAAAATCCGGCACCAGATAGAGAGGAAAAATTTGCAGGAAGCAGTATTAGTAAAAGATGCTTGTGATATTTGCTACCATGTGTATTTTAATGAACTGCTGCTGGTACATGTGAACTAAGCTTTTTTATTAACTTGTGTACAAAGATGTGCCTTGTGAGTAATGTATAGTGTTGCAGGTAAGTGGATTTGTGAATTGGGTTTTTTGTTTGTTCCCCCCCCCTTCTCTTTCTTAAGAAAACCCCAAACATACATTCCTAGGAACCTTTTGCTTCTCCCTTTTAAGGTTGTATATTTGTGTCTCTCTCTACCTTTGTGGTCTTAGTTCTGGTTGTTGAAGTGCTGTCTGCCATTTTTTTCTAAATTGATTGGACTGTAAAACATAGGAATATACTTGTCCAAAGATAAATGTCTCTATCTTCGTTGATGAAAAAGCATGATGTGAGATGAAAACAAGGTGTAGTAAGTTATCTTCTAGAGTAGCATTTGATGCTTGTCTGTTTTGGAAGACTGGAGATGAGCACCGTATATTGCTATTTCTGGTAGAAACTATAAATTCCTGGTAATAAGGAGAAGTGCTAATGTTCTGTAACTGATGAACAGATTTCAGCTAATGGGAATGTTTTATTTCGACTTAAATTTCAATTTAGGTATGAATTGTGCATCAGGCAGTTATGTCTTAATAGTAGATGTTGTGTCAGTGAGGTTTTCTGGAATTTGGGCATTACGTAATTTAAAACTGTGTTCAGTCCTGTTTGTTTCAGCGTTCTCCATCATTTAAACTCATTTAAAATCTGATTTTAAAAAAGCCTATGCAAATTTTGTATATACACTGGTTTACGTGTTAAAGCTCAGTTACAGTTTGAAGTAATAATGTTAATTAGTACATACTCACAAATTGGACTTAAATTAGTGTTCTTGAGGTGGCCAGCTTCCATCTATGCGCAACATACTAAGAGCAGTTTTAAAAATGATTTTATAGTAAGGCAAATATAATCAAGCACTTTGTGTAATCTTTAACAGCCTTTAATGACAACTCTTGCAGATTCAGTGTAGCAAACTTAATTATTTTTCCTTGCAGTGGTGTTAGTGGCATGTTTCTAAAATCCAGCTGTGGAAATTTAGGTGTGTTTAATGGTAGCAAGAACGTCTATCTTTACTCCCTTATTTGCCTTATATTGACATTGTTCATGCTGTGACCCTGTTCAGATATATCATTAAATACATTACATGTATCTTTGTTCTTGTGTATTTGGACATTGACATTGAAATGAAAATCACATTTGAAGAACTGAATAAAAAAACCCCAGAGATTGTGTGTTTCTTTTTCTGTGCCTCACTTCCTCTTCATTCTCTCTTCAGGTCAGAGTGCCAGATGCAGTACACACCACTGGATCTGCTGATACACATGTAAGTCAAAAATACTTAAAACCACCACCAACAAAAAAACAAACAAACAAAATCAAGCCAAACCCACAAACTCAGAACAGGCCTGTTCTCTAAAGAACACTACTAGCTGCAGGCAGATTCTGGTGCATTGGGTATCTAATCTGTAGGTGTTTGTAAATGAACCATTGATTTTCATGTTTAAAACCACTCCTTGAAACTTTCAAACAATCACTAGTGTAGGAAGCTCTGCTGCATGATACTGCATACATAATAGATACTTGAACAGGAAGATGATGTCAGGACTGTGTATATGTTTATCTCGTATACTGAGGAATAGTTCAAAATACGAGGCGATTAATCATCAGTCACTGTATATTAAAGTGTCTTTTTGTATACAGCTGGCTTCTCAAAAATGAGATAGTGTGGCCCTAAAAGGAAAAAATCCTTTATTTTTCTTTCTAATAGAGTATGGTTAAAGCAAAAGGTAAGAATAATTGCCTAGTCTCCCCCCTGCCACTGAAGAGACCTTTGTCTGGTCATGTGGTTGGTATGTTGCTTGAAGGGCTACCTATTTCCAAGCTAAAGTGAAAACAGGCAGCAAGAGCCAAACAGAGTGTTAATACCAGACAATTCATTCTGTGGTTTGGATTTTCTTCAAGGTTTCAATTTGATTTTGTATATGAAAAAGTCAATTACCAGCTGTTAAATTGCTTGTAAGATAACATTATTCAAGTTGTGATAGCAGAAACTTTTCATAAAGAAGTAGGTCCTTTTATTGATTTCCTTTTCTTGCTACAATTTGCAAAATTACTCTTAAATCGCTTTTGAGTATTTTGTGTTGTCGGTGGAACTGGGACTTCAGTGCTTTGTGTCTTCTTATAGTCAATGCAGCGTTATGTTTAATGGGAGTTTGCTTTCATACAGTGATTTGACTACTCAGCTGGAAGTTTTCTCTTTGCTTCCACCATTTTCTTTACCCTTTTCACTATATTATTTTCCATTTTTCGAAGGAGGAAGGCCTTCAAGTTTTGTATAGCTCTGTTAGGAATTCTGTGAAGCTGCATATGGTTAATAATAATGTTATGATTGCCTACTGGAAGGTAACTAGCAGGCATAAATTAATTCAGTCCTGTTAACTTTATATTGTTCCAGCCACTTTGAAGGTGGTGTGTGTTTTTTTGGGGATGGTTGGTTTTTTGGGGTTTTTTTTTTTCCTTCCCCCTCTGAGACCCTTTCTAAACTGAGGAGGTGTTAGTGCCAGAACTCTTGTTATCTTACAGCTGCTTCCCTTATGTCACTAGAACATATATTCATGCGGCTGATCTGCAGGTATCCTGTAACATTACTGTGAAAGGTTATTTCCTGATGACAGGATAATCCTTGGGTAGGAGTGTGGTATTTGTTTTGTCTGCATTGCTGTGCCATAGCAATATGCCCACGTTTTGCCAAGGTGGTATATTGTTTGTCATACTGAAATATAAGCTGTCTTTGAGACAACAGGAAAACTGGATTTTAGTAACTTTAAAAGACACAGATGCATGAAAAGTTACTGATAAACCTGTCACAGCAGCTCATGTTGACAAACATAGTGTCATAAACCAGGTAATGCACAAAGCTGCATTAATTTGTTACTGATAGTTTTCCTTTTAATGATGAAGTAGGGGACATTTTTCAAAGAAATATGAGCTGTTTTGGTGATACGCTTGGCACAGATCTAAGAGTTGTTTGTGATGCTAAGCAAGGATTATAAACTGAAGGTATTTCCAACGATTGTTTTTCGCAGTGCTTTTTTGTATGTAAAAATTCTGAATAGGAAGCTGATACTAGAAATGAAACTCTTTAGAAAGAAAATTATTCCTAGAGGAAACACTTTTTTTTTAGTTGGCATCTGACATTTTTAATAATACAGCAATTAAGTTGTTCACCTTATTTGTCTTGATGTTTTATTAAATTGAGCTGAATTTTTTTTAAGAGCTGTCATTGCAAAAGTTGTTTTAAGCATCACTGTGCACTGTGTAAGAGAATCAAAAATATTTTGAAGATAAAAGCTAATAGCTTATGTTTTGCTCTTCTGAGGCTTTTTTTCTTGTTCTTGTGCTGATTCTTTATGAATTACCAAATTAAGCTAGGAGTTTCCAGGGAAGTTCCTTATCTTTTCCCTCCTTTCCTTCCTATTGCCTATGTCTTTTGAACGTGGCCTTCATCCTGTTGTCTTTCCTCTCTCAACGCTTTACCATCTGTTAACTACCTAAATAGAATCTTCAGAATTCTAATTCCGTACTCTCCAGAAATAATTGTTACGTGGAGTCCTCCCTTCATCAGGGTTTCAAGAAGGGAGGATTGGAGGTTAAATTACCTAAAACTGAATGAATGTAGGACATAAATGTGAGGTCTTTTGTTTTATTTAACTAGTAGCTGAAAATCTCAAGAATGCATTTTCTTCTTCAAGCAAAAATACTATATTTAACCTTGAAGTACAACTGAAATATAGCATCCATTTTGTTCTTCAGTTACACCTGTTCAGCCTTGTGCAAACATTCTTCTGGCCAAAATAGTCAGAAAAGCTTTTAGAACTTTTCTCTGTTGGTGGTGTTTTGTTTTTGCCACGCCCCCCCCCCCCCCCCGCCCCCGGCCCCCCGCCCGCTACA